TGGATAGTTCTTAGCCATAGCCACACATTCCTCTTCACGACCATTTGGTTCATATATTCTTCTCTTCTCATCTCTTTGCCACTTGTTTATTGAAAGTATTTGGTCGTTCACCCATTTCCATCTTCTTTCTTCCTTTATCAGGCCAATGCACCATTCATTAATATAATCATTGATCCCTTGAATCTTTGAATTAACGAATTTCCATTTCTCTCCTGTTTCCATGGTTACCAAGTCACCTCCATYTTTTATGCACTCACCTCGACTATCTCTGCAATCTAATTCATGTGWATTAAATGTGTAGCAGAAGCAATCTGTGAAATAAAATAAAATGAAAGAGTAAAAACKTTAGTAAAGATTAAGAATTTTGTGTTTCATCTACGTTTTTTGAAATGACGTCTTTGGTCTTTTGCTTTCGGACTGACCACACCGAAAACAATGCGCCGTGACTCTCTCGATTTAGGGAGGAACGCCCTTTTCTGGAAATAGACACTGTGCGAAAGACCGAATTTTCGATAATATTCAGACATCGAAAACCTCACCCTAACCGGCTGTCATACTGAAGTATTCGATACRCATTACAAATGTGTTGTTCACCTTAAGTATTCGTTGCGGATACTTCAGAAAACGTGGCGTACTAAATCACGCTTTGGTTTTCTTATAAGACATACCCTTCGTTAAAAATGTGTCTAGAGTATACCGTTCACACTCCATGCATCACCAAAGTATTCGGATTTTTGACTTATTTAGACTGAGTTACATGTTCCCGATATCAGCAACTCTTCCAAAGAACTGGCACTTTTATATTAACTGAATCCACGGTTACTAAGTTATTCAAATTCAAATCCTAATACTTATTTAACAATTATACTTTTAAAATATTTTTAAAATATGAAGACTCATATAAAATAAGGGTTGAGAAATCACGCCGTGGTTTTCTTATATGACCTACGTCTCGTTAAAAAATTCCTATAGTATACTGTTTCATATGCTATACTTCGACCAAGGTATTCGAATTCTTTTTTAGCTGGTTATAACATATGTTCATGTTCCCGACATCAGCAGCTTAAAAGATGAGAAAAAACGGTTTTGAAGTGTTTTTTTTAATATATATTATGAGACGGAATCGATGTATTTTTCTTTGCAAGATCTGATCGACAATATAAACACGAATCGGCTGGGACAGATTAAAGTTCGGAAGTACTGTAATAATTTTGATTCCGTAAAAAWTAGTATCTTTGATTAATTTACAAAAGGAAAACTGGCCTTCTAAAGTTATAACTTTGAAATGGTTCATTGATTATCCAACGTATTTAAAAATGTTAAACGGCGTCGTTTACACATGCCGGTTTACAAGTACCAAGCGCTTGCACCCTTTCACAATGGCGTAGGAAATTTAAGAAGCTTAAGATCTCCCAAGGCAGAATCTCAGACTTTGAATCTTAAGCTTAGAACATTAGAGAACAAGGAATGTGGAATAGTGTGGCCGATCTTGTTCATGCTAATGACGCTGGGTCAAGAATATGCACTTTACGTGTTAGAAGAACATTGGAGCTATTCATATTTCGGCTTTTGTGGTAATATAATGATGTGCGC